GCCGATCTGGATGCTCAGAGAAACTGAACAAGCCAGGGAAAAGAAAAAAGCATGATGATGGTGGTGGGGGGGTAATGAAATCCGTCGAGTGAGCCTAGCCCCGACATGGGGGAAGGGTAAGTTGGGAGGAGCAGGAGGATCGGACCATGGCTGCAGGCAGGGGGGGTGTGTTGATGGTCTGAATGACTCGGGTAAGAGAGAATATTGTGAGTAAGATTGTGAGAAGTGATGATTTCATCTGGCCAAGTGAAGAACCGACCACCAAAATCATCGTGAGTATTGGCAGCAGCAGCAGCAGCAGAAGGATGTCAGGCTCGCTCAGATTACTGTTTTCCGGATTATTCGCGCTGGGAATTTCTCCATTGGCACGACTTGAGCCTCTTCTGCCGAGACAGGCTTAGCGCAGGCGAGGCAGCTGGGATCCACATTCTGTTTTGAGATGAGTATTCTGGTTTCTTATTGGCTGCTAGAATAACCCCAGGGCCAATGAAGACGAGGGCACGGGGCGGCCACATGGCAGCATCACCGCCAGTGGAAGTGCTTGGGCCATCCGTCCAAATGAAACACGCCAGATTCCCTCCCTCTTGAGTTAGTAGCCCGAGCAGAATCCAGTATGGAGTAACTAATCACTTAGTGTACTGCTGACTCTGCCGGTGATGAACTGACGGCCGGTGTGGAAATTTCCTGATCGATCCTCGCTCGCTCCATCCCGCCTAGATTCGGTCTGGTTCCGTTCCCTCTACTTGCTGGCTAGCTTGTCCGTTTCAAGTCCAGTCTGTGGTAGTCGAGTACTACTGGCATCTCCCCTCTTTCATGGTGATCCCTCCACTTTTTCCCTTCCAGTGGGCGGGACGGGATTCACAAGCCTCCGAGGAAGAAGAGGCCCTCCTCATCCTCAGGTCTAAGCCGCAACAATCTGGAGTTCATCGCCAATCCACTGCCTTCGAATCGACGGAACCAGAAACTCAAACGCCCTTCCTCATCAGAAGAAGCAATGTCATCCTCCCTCTCCATCCCTTTCCATCCCTCACTCTCCCATTTCCAAGAATTAAATAAAAAAAAGAAAACAATATCATCTCTACGCCCCAAACCCAGAATCATGCCACAGCCCTTCTAGCCCCAGAGACGGTGGTGGCGGTCAGGGTCTGTCAGAGGAATGCTTTCCCTCTTTTTCCCACCCCCCATTCCCTCCCCAAGGCTCGGGCGCAGCGGGAACACAGATACAGAAGTGAACGAGCAAACGAACAACAGAGATTGGTAAGTTAGTAGAGTAACCCCGGGGGTCGTCTAGAGTCCAGATAGTCTGGACAGGGTCTGCGGAATTCTCACCCAAACTCTGGCGGGATACAGGTGTGGTTCCGAAGCGCTCTACCTTTCCGATTTCCATTCTTGATATTGGTGGAGAGCGCTTCCCCATACCAAGCCAGCGGCGTCTGCTTGTTCTATGGTTCCTCCTCCATTTAGACTTGGGCCGGAGGAACTTACATACACAGACACTGTGTTTTTTTTTGGCTGGGCTTTAATCACATTGTTGGTTCGCCATTGGGCTGCTTTCCATGAAAAAGTAAAATAAAATAAAATAGAAACAAATGACACACGGTTGGACAGACAGCCTGTCACTTGCGGCGGAGTTGGTCCGTCTATCATCATTCAGATCGGCTGCAAGTACCTTCCACTAAGAGTTGTACTTTTCTTGGATCAAAGGCGGCCGGCCGGTCAGGCTTTCTTCGTCGTGAGGACCACTCTGGGAGATGGAATCATCAGTGGGCAATAGAATCTGTAGGCAACATCACTGTGGCCTGGTCTAGTACCTACATCTCCGCCCTTTTCTTTGGTACCTACGTAGCCCGTCCGCTTCCTTTGGTTTCTTTTTCCTCCCCCTACCTCTGCCTGACCTGACGGACAGATCATCCCCGCGGGACTGCAATAAGCCTAATCAGACCCGCTCGAACTGTGTCAGCCGCCTTCTCTTTTCTTTTCCTCTGTTCACGTTGGCTGACGTACCGGTAAGGATGCTAATCGGAGAACCATCGAATAAGGTGATCGATGGGCCACAGATCCTACCACATTGGGCCATCCAGGATGATCGTTATAGTAGGGACTGAAGCTAAGTCGTCCGCCCGTGCTGGGATCGCTGCCACGATTATAAACGGAACGACACTTGACTTGCTCGGGTCTACCGTAGTAAAGTTCGACAAATAACCATGCCGCTGATGATGCGGACTGCAAGACCAGGGTCCTCCCTCTTCATCGGAAACACCAAGAAATGGCAAGAAATGACCAGGGTCTGTGAGTTTTGACGGGCAGTTGTCACTAGCAGTTAGTTAGTCGTCTGCCATAAGCGATGCATCGCTGATTGGGCAGCTCGTAAATTCTATCCCCCTTATTCATACCAATTAGGGGGGCGTTGTTGCTTTTTCCTGGCTCGTCATCCATTCTCACCCCCCATCATCTTCTCCTCTCCTCTCCTGCATTCATCAAAGTACTTGGCTACTCAACTTAGCCTCTCGTGGAGATGTCAACTTTCGTCAAAGTGTGCCCCCGACGCCAAGACAGGCAAAGTACTGAGCAACTGAACTAGTCGTCGCTTGCACTTGACACATATACACCGAATGGTTTGCCTTGCAGGGCGATCCGAGCGCACCGTTCATGGTGCCTGAAAAGTTGACCCAACAACCCCTCCTTTCTCCCCGTTCGCTCTCCGGAGGGGTGACCAGCAGTGGAAAATAACAGATTACCTAAAGTACTCTTCACAGCCAGGTCACAACCTTAATGTGCGCTAGGGTGGAGGCACCGGTCGCTAGTAGATTCCCTGTGGCCCTCTGATGGCTGTTGGGAGATAACTTCCCCCTGCCAGGGTGGGTATTCGATAATTGCAGCGGGTCACCACCTTGTCGCGGTTACTTTGATCTGAATAGGCACCGGAGGAGACCCATGATTCAAGCGCGTTGGACTCCGTAGATGGCCACAGTCTCATCATGTTCCAAAGATCGATAATGAGCCAATGTGCAGTGACTATGGGTCTGTCGGTGGAGGATGCGATCTTTCACAAGCTCGCTCGCTCCTATCCAGACCTTACGGGCGCACACCTACTTACACTTAGGACGTCATCAGCAGGACTCTCTGAATCTGGCCATGACAGCCGACCAAAGCGCAGATGAAATTCCAATCTGCAGGATTCATTTCGGTGATTGGCCGCCCGGGGGACTGTGCCCAGGGGTTGCTAGTCAGCCATCCTGCTCTCTTGCCGAGCAAGACCCTGTGTAACGGTGCAGACAAGCCATGCAGCATGCGACCCGCGGGACAAGGGGGGGTAGACAATAAGTACAACCTTCAGAAAACCTGCAGAGAGATACCTTCTTCGGTCCATCAGTTGGCATGGAGGCGATGACAAACCCAAGTCACCGGCCAAGACCCCAAGACCCCGACTCAACCTTTGCCCTGCTGGAAGGCGTCCATCATCCTTAGTCTTGGGTTCTGGCGCTGCTCGGTAGGTTTAGTCTAGTCCCGGCCGAACTAAAGTTTTGGGATCGAGGCTGTAAAGCAACAGCCCTCTCCCTCTACTAGATACTGTTTAAATGACATGGTGTAATGGACAGTTCGGGGCGCATTTTTAACCCAGGATTGCCCACGTAATGACTGACAGGACCTTCCATGGAGCATGGAAGATGAGCCTCGCGAGAGGATCCTAGTAGCTTAGGCCTTCCTTTCGTAGAAAATCTGACCTTCTATTGCATCAAGTGGGGCGACTGGAGTTACAGGAGAGACCGGGCGGTCGATTATGATAGACGCGCGATCCACCGCGAGGATGAAGGCGCAGTGGACGGACGTGGCATGGCGCCTTACCTCAGCCGATATGTTAGTACGTAGTTGGTTAGATATCTGTAACGCGGACAGATCGTCTGCTTCTAAACGCACTCCATGCACAGGCGAAGTCTTCTGTATGACAGACCTGGTCCACATGCACAGTCTGGATAAGACGATACGGAGGTAACACGGTTTCAGCCTCGACGGACGGAAGCCAATGTGATCTTGCAAGTGTCGGTTCCCAATCGACCGGATGAAACAGCGTCAGCTGTCATACCTCATGGCCAGCCAGACTCTCGGTGATTTTTGCCATTCTATTCTTCTCTTTTCTTTCATCAGACGGGAAACTCTAGCAGGGCTGGACTGCAAGCGATTAATGATTAGTCGTGGTTTAGTCTAGTGGTAGGAAGTAAGTAAGTGAGTGATCTGGCCCGTTACGGAACGGTCGAGCGGGACAGATAAAAAAGAAAAGAGAGAATTGGGATAATAATAAATATATAAATTAATTCCGTTTAAAGAATAATCAACGATCAGTAAAGAGAAAACAAAGAACGGCGGCGATACCGGTCTGAAGGGTAAAGTTAAACTAGAATAAAGCTAAAGGGAAATCTCCACGACCAGCATTGTTAGTGTGTTGATTGGAGCCAGGATTCGAGAGGGCGCTGATGGATAACGCTGGTAAGAGGCCAGAAGAACTCCGTTATTTAGTTTGCCCACGCTTGGACAATCACAGTTTAGTGGGGAGGGACCAACAATCTGGTCCGACCACACAACCACCGCCATCCACCGGACCCATCGAAACTCTGAAGATGACCCAAAGGACTAAAAGCAGAGCCAGGGTTGACGGTGCCAAACCATCCGGGGCTGCGGGCCGGGTCCACGGTCACGGGGAGGCTGAGACTGTAAAGAAAAAAAGAGTGGGAAAAGGTCTGAGGCCGAAACCTTGTTGGGGGGAGGAGCAGCAAAGAATCCACCAGTCAATTTCTCTTGATAGTCGGTCTTCTCTCGGGTCGTCTCAACTAAGCTAAAATCTAGTCTAGAGCCCGCCTGACAGCGGAAAAAGGGCTCGACCTGCATCAGCCATGGAGGGATGAGATGGAAGGGGGGTGAGGGAAGGGGGCTGGATGGTTGCATGCATCGTTGCACAAAGCCTCATTGCCACGTTTTCGTCCCGGAGATCGCGACAAAGTTCCCAAGATCCCGAAGTAATCGAGCATATGCCATGTGATGATGGAGGGGGGGGGGGGGGGGGGGAGTGTAGGGATGATGCTCTTACATCCCTGTTGGAGGGAGAAGCGAAGGGGATGAGATTTGTTGTTTGTAGATTATTTCTTAGCTCGTGAGTACACTACTCGTAGATTAATACCAAGAGCGGACTGGAAAGGAGCAGCTGGACCCTTCTCGGCCGTCAAAATTAAATTTGAAGCGATCTTCAGGAAGGCGTCCATGGTTCGTTGGGACGATGCTCCCAAGTTCAACTAGCTCTCCAGCAAGATAGAGATAGACCGATAGAATTAGATAATAGATCGCGACCGACTGCCGCACCAAACTAGGAGTAAACATCCGTCAGTACACAGTAGAGTATACTCCATACCTCCTCCGTACTCGGTGTACTGTGTAAGTACCTCGAAAAGTAGTTGCTTGATACTGGTTGATTGGATCCATCAGTCTAAAGTACCCTTGATCACGGGGACAAGAAGGTCACTCAAGACTAGCCCAGGTAGCACAGCCAGTGAGACCCAGTCAGGCAACTGTCGGTCGGAGCAAGCCGATCCCAGATCCCGACCAGCCAATGACGCAGACATAACCATTCTCCGCATCAGTTTGGATGGCGACCAGAAGAGGGAAGAAGTGGGCCAGTCACAGACAGGCGCTGAGCTCGGCAGATCCGCCGTCTTCTTTTCTTCTCACTTCTCAGTCAATTTTCAATCTCGCCAGATACAACCGCATCTGGTTAGTGCGGGAGGAGTCCAGAGGTCTTTCGCACTAACCCGGAATAGGGATCTGCCAACTTTAAGAAAAAATACCAATCGAATAATACACATTTGATTAAAAAAGAAAGGATAAAAGAAAGTAAACAAAAGATGGGATGATGTTCACTCACCATCATCATCAGCATGAGCAGAAAAAGCAAGTCAAGGCGACCAACCTATCCACCTAACTAACTGCTAAATAACTGCCACACTCCAAAACTAGCCCCCAACTTCACACGCGGCCCAGGATCAACCATGTCAGAACCCAATAACTCGTCCAGTTTCCCTCGTGGCCAGCCTGAAGGATCGATCATCCACCAGTGATGTGATGATTCTATTCTCTCGCTCAGTATCACCATCAATTCCAGCCCCAGGATCCAGCCCGTCGGGCGCGCCTATGGAAGTTAATCAATCATTACTGCGCCGTCCTCGGAAATGGGTACACAGGGGGGGAAAACAAAAACAAAAAGTTGGCCACACAGCCTCATTGAACTGGGTAGTAAACCACTGACTTGGTTTACTAATTGAAGACTAAGTCTAGTATGGATATGACTGGGAACCCCATCCAATTCAACGATAAATGGATTAGCCGACAGACCACCCAGTACGGAGTACACATTATCTACAGTACGTTGTAAACAGTGAGAGAGTGTGTGAGAGAGATAATAGTTCCCGGCGAAATGGCCAATCTCCGAAAAGGAAACTAAAAACCTGCTCAACTAAAAAACCACCACTACCACCACCTGCAGTAAGTAGATTTTTAGCGGCCGAAACATTTTCGCCTTCGCCGAAGATACCCTGATTGGGTAGGAGTCATATTTGAGTCAATTACTGACTACTCCTACTAAGTCCAGAATGGCGTACGTACATGGATGATGAGAATGATTACCTGTGTCTTATCAATCCATACTAGACAAGGAGACTGTAGCTGAGTGATGATTCATTACCAGCAATTAGTTAGTTATTTCCAATGAGGCAAATCAATCAGTTCCAGAGTAAGCCGCCATACCGCCATCCATGATGCCATCTCACTAACCTACCTCACTAACCTAACTCACAGACTTATTCCATCCATCCATCCATCCATCCATCCCTAAATCAACTAATAAACTAGTAACTACTAACTGCCTAGTCACCAAACTAAAAACATATCCCCTGCTCACCACCTGCATGGAACCTTCCACAGAAGAATCCCCCCCAAACCGAGCAAACAAGCAAGCAAGGTAAGCAAACACACATCAACACCCTCCCCTTCCTTACTCCGTACATAGTGCTTACTTCTTACTGTAAGTACTTAGAGACAGCCAGCCCACCAGAATAAGTAATCGCTTAGGAAAGATTATCAATCAATCAATACTCTCCCCCAACTATTAACCAGGATTAATCTGTCATGTCGTACACACATCCACCATATCTTAACCCATAGACATGAATCATCCTATCGGAGATGCCGATATGACTATTCTTCTTCTTCTGATTTAATCATTATGATGACGATGATGATGGTGGTGGCCTTAACCCAGACCCTACCTCCCTACCTGTACTTCCCATAAGTGAGAGAGAGTGTGTGTGCTGCGCTGTGCTATGCTGTGCTGGAAATGACCTGTCCCAGACCGACTGGGGTACTACTACTAGTACTAAGTAGTTAGTAGTATGTATGCTGCAACGCTAAACGCTCCAGGGGTGTGCCCTACCTGGCTAAGTTGTCCGGGATTGCAGGGATTAAGAAAGAAAAAATATTGACCAGGGTTTTGGTGGTGTTCGGATCCGAAGGGTTCGGAGATAGGCATTGACTACTCCGTGGTAAGTAGTACTAGTATTATTGCTAGTGATTTTAGTACTACGTAGGTGATTTGCAGGGGATTGAGATTGGGATTGGGATTGGGTAGGGGTATAGATAGGCATTAGGTAGAATTATGAAGTGAAGAATGAGTATTGGTATAACTTCATACTATTATGCCTGGAATCTAGGTTAATGCTCTTTGTTGATAAGTACTGTCATGTAGATCGGACCAGAACTAAGTAGGACTTGCAGTTGGCTAGCTGGCTGGCTGATGCATCACTTTCATGTCAATCGCATCTGTTTGTCGATCATGATGTCGAACTTAAAATTCATATACATCATTCGTATAGATTATAGACTATATCTTCCCCCTTCTCCCCTCCCTTCCATCGTAATTTGCAGAGAAAAGAAACTTCACATCATCAGAGTTGATAAAAAGAGAACGCCAACGGTTGAGAAGCACACAGCAGGTTGTCGGCCGACTATCCCCTGCGTGCATCGAAAGGCTATCTAATATACTATTCTACTGGTCTATCTAATAACATAAAGAAAGAAAATTGAAGAATAAAAAAGGTACAGGATCGATAGGCATGTCTCATTGTTCATTTCCCTTCTTGCCATCTTCTTCTTCCTGGTTATATAGTCCCGAGCTATACTATCCCAGGGTTTCATGTCCATCCGCTTTTTGCTCTTTTCGTTTCGTCCCTTTTTTTTATTTTGGTTGCCCACGGTCCAGCCAGCCATTAGCCCTCCCTCTATGCAGACCCCGACACGGCGATCCACGCACAGTCGATTGAAACAGATTCCAAACACGCCACATCAAGGCTTAATCATCAGACGGTGTGCATACTCCCTCCGCCCGGAGAAAGGTCCATGATTCCGGAGAAGCCAACCACCGAGCCAGGTGCCGGCGTGGGAGAAGGAAAAGGAAATGCAATTTTATGCGCCTTTCGCCATGAAATTTTGCGTTCAAACGAAACATTAACATGACAAACATATAGATCTAAATCTGGTATACAGAACGAAGCTTCTGAGCAACATGGGCCGGAAGTTGCGACAGGAATGAATCGAAATTGGGTATCATATTTTTATATCCCTGCAACACCTACATCATCATTGAGTCAGTTACACATATTGAACAGTATGGGGGGAAGGCTACACACCTGCTGGAATGAGGTCTGAATGTCACGGTAGTCCTCCTGGTTCATCGATTTGGTGGGGAAGGCAGCGATGGCCTGGAAGTAGTCCACCAGGCAAGACTCCATGGCTGCGGGGTTCTTCATCACCACCTGGTTGAATCCGAGGAAAGCGGAAGCCTTCTCGCGGGTGAACTCAATCTTGTTCATTGACTTCAGGAAGACTCCGGCGAATTCGTTCAGACGAGCTGCAAGTTGATCGGAGCAGCAGATACCAAGCCGGCCCAGGGCCATCGCGGCGTTCTCGTTCACTGAGTCGATGATCTCCTCGTTGTTAATGATGATGAAAAGCCCCTGGTACAGCTTCTCCATATACGGAGACAGCGCGGCTTTCTCGTTGACGGCGATCTCTCCGCACGACCAGCAGGCATTGTTGAGAACGCTGAATCCAGTGTGACGATCATCATCCCGGATCTGATCCAGATCCAGTTGCTTGATCAAAGTGGGCATAATGTTAGGGATGAAGGACTCGAGTTGAGGGAAGATGTTGATCGCACAGTCACCCAGCAGAGCATACGATGACTGACGGACCTCATAGTTCGGATCTTCCATACAGAAGCAGAGCAGGTCAAAGAACCGGGGCTGGGAGTTGGCGACCAACTCGCCGCTCTTCTGCGGATCGATCGCCTGGATGATCGCGCTCAGAAGGTCCAGACTCGTCACCAGGAAGTCCTTGTCAGGCTCATCAATGGCCTGGTTGTTGACGGACGCCATGTACTCCTGCAGGTTCTCATAGATGATCTTGATGCACCGCTGGAAGAGGGGAGTGGCGAAGGGAGAAAAGGCGTCGCCATAGGCCGCCGCAATATATCCGAGACACTCCAAGAGGGGGAACAGCTCCCGAGACTGATCCGAGACCTTGTTGTAGCGATCAATGAGAGCAGGCATCAGGATATCAACCAGTTGAGGCTTCGCCAGCTCTCCCATGACGCACTCAGCCAAAGTCTGAACACAGTCATACAAGATGTACATGTTCCGGTCCTTGTACCTTCCGAAGCACTGCACAAACTGTCGAAGGATGGGCTCGCAGTAGGGGATCAAGTTCGCGTCCGACTTCTCCTCCAAGCTTGCAAAGGCAGAAGCAGCCGCCTCTTGAACCTTCTTGTTGCCGTCCAGCATCCTGCGCAGGATACCCTCCATCATAGGCTCAAAGAAGCGCGCCCTCTCCGACGGGTCTCCCAAGTGCGACGCCCATTCGGAGTAGCGGCCGAGGCACCAGCAGGTGATCTGTCGCACAACAGGTTGAGCGTCGTTGAGCAGGGAGATGAGATAGGGAACGAGCTCGGGAAGATGAGGCGTGACAGCATCCATACAACCATCTGCAACAGCACCAAGAGTCAGGACAGCAGCTTCGCGATGAGGCCACTGCTCGTGACGGAGGGTCTCCTTCAGGTAGGGCAGGATGATTTCGAAGATCGGGTCGTGGTAGACGTTCGAGAAAACATCCAACGCGGCGGCGGAGCACTTTCTGAGCGTCCATTCGTCCTCGGGGTCATCTCCAAATTCGGAATCCTCAATCTCGCCTTCGCTCAGATCGTCATCGTCTTCCTCCTCGGGAGCAGCGTTTCCGTTCGCTTGACCTGACTTGGACATATCCAGTTTGCCGCTCTTGGACTTGGCGAACTGTGGCTTGAGGTCTTCCTGGCGGTCTTCGTCCTCGGCATCATCTCCTTCGCCCGTCAACCGAATGGCTTCATCCTCGTCATAAACCATGCTCTGGAGCAAGACCGGCACGATCTTGCTCATGTGGGGAGCCAAGGGCTGCTGGAGCTTGATCTGCTCGCCCGCGACAAGCCAGAACTCAGCGGCGTCAAGCGCAAGCTCCGGGTCCTCCTGGTTGTGCTGTTGCATGATGATGTAGTTGACCAATCCTTCCATGTGGGGGATAAGCTTCTCGGGGGAGAAGTCCACGAGCTGCGCGAAAGTCTGACAAACTGTGCGACGAACATCGGTACTCGAATCATTGGCGAGCTGGAACAATTGCGACAAAAACAGATCCATTGAAGCAATGAGGGCCTTAGGTCTGTGCGGGAGGAAGACATGGATGGTGCCGAGGGCCATTGAGCGGACCTTCGAACTCTGATTGGAGGTGAATTCGAGCAACTTGGGAATGATGACGTCG